CACACACACACACACACACACACAAACACACACACGGACTATCTACATCGGACGAATGACGGGTATATCTCGCTGCTATCGTGAAACCGTACGGCGCCATGGAGAATCCACCGAGCAGCTAATGCGCGTGGCCGCCGCCAGGAGTCGCAGGCACTCCCACTGCAAATCATATACTTGGAGTGACCGACATCCCGAAGAACGAAAGGGACAACTTTTAATGACAATTAAGTTCAATAAATAAAAAAGGGCTGGGATGGCGCGCATTCATTTAAATTTTAATTTTGTGCCAATCCAAAAATCTGAATATCTCCTGTAACCCGTCCGACCGCGGCCACTTGTTTTGAATCACAATATATAAACCGAGTGGCCAATCATATAGCGATATTATCGCGGTTCCCGCTTCGGTGCTGGAAATATCGTTCATCTGAATGGCTTAGATGTATATACGTCTCAAGAAAAATGCACGATTGTTTAGTATTGTTGCCGTGTCGCAACTATATATATAATATATATATATATATATATATTATATATATATAGCTTTATATTTAGATGTTCGTTTGAGCCTTGTGTCGGCGTGCGTGCGTATTGTGTGACGTATTGTGTGACGTATTGTGTGACTATCGTGTGACGTGAAATTCACTGCTGCATGCCGTGATGTCTGCTGGTTAGGTGTGGAGCTAGGTTCGATGTCGTGACCCCGGCAGTATTCGATGTGTAGCGTGGCCTACGGAAGAGGAGAGGGTTGCGACCCGCGTGCTTTGCAGGCGGCCGGCGTCGAATTCGCGGCACCGATCTTTCTCAAAGCACGGAGAAAAAAAACCTGAAGCCGAATTCAAAGTTTCTTTTCGATGTCATCGTCTCCGCGCGGTGAGACATGTTTGCATTCGTAGAAATGTAAGCTCTATATGAATTTACTTGCGGTGCAGCACACAAGCACATCGTTTGGTGTGTTTGCTTTTGGGTTCGCTGTCTCCAATTCTCTTTCTCTTTCTTGCCCACTTTTTGTCTCGCTCTTCTTCTTCTTCTTCTTTTCTCTCTCTCTCTCTCTCTCTCTCTCTCTCTTTTCTTTCTTCTTGCTATTAGGTTAGGCCGTTGGACTTCGCACAGCTTGAGTGTTAAGCGTCGCATGGCCTGCTGAATCAATATGAGCCGTCATCCTGGTAGGGAGACGCTCACGTGTGGTTCGTTGTTGTCTTTCCAGAACCAACTCACAACTTCGTGTGCGTTGTTTTCCGCTGATAATTGCGCACTAATTGCTATTCGTCTGCGCTTTCTCTCTATCTCTCGTACTCTATCACTCTGCGTAGCTCGATAATTTCGTAAACTAGATAAGAAGACAAACACAGTTTTGGCGTACATCGCTGTCGCCGTCGGCGTAACCATCATCGCTTCTTTATCGTCGTCGTCGTCGTCGTCGTTATCGTCATCGTCGTCGTCGTCGCCGGCTAAATATCCATGTGTTGATTTCCTTCTCCACGGTTTTGTAGGCGCAGGCTATGTGGATAATGGATATGGCGACCAACAGGCTGACACAAACGATCACACCGGATATGTCGACGCCCAGGCGGGCACAAACGATGAATCAGCCGGAGCTGGCGTTAGCGGGGGGAAAGTGGATGGCATAGGGACGAATAACGATAGGCTGGGGACGGAGTACGACTACTACATGTACAACTATAACGATAACTACACGACCGCCAGTTGGCAGGACGGTAACATCGGAACGGGAAAAGACGTGCGGCTGCAGACGAAGAGCCAGAGCAATCGAATGACAACTACAGTGTCGATATCGTTGGGGTTTACTGAAAGCCCTGGCAGCGAGAAGGTCTCGTTCTACCCAGGGCTCGCGAAAGCGGAGGCAGACACAGAGACAGAAGCATGGGCAGAGCCAGAGACAGAGGCAGAGCCAGAGGCAGAGACAGAGACAGAGGCAGAGGCAGAGGCAGAGGCAGAGGCAGAGGCAGAGGCAGAGGCAGAGGCAGAGGCAGAGGCAGAGGCAGAGGCAGAGGCAGAGGCAGAGGCAGAGGCAGAGGGGGGGTTCGCCGAGCACATATTTATTCATAGCGTTTGGTGTAGGCGTAATGTGTGAAAGTGTTAGATAAGCGGAAGTAATAGGCCAGTTGTGGGGCATTAATGGCCTGTTTGTGATGGCTATTCGTCATAGACGTGTCGCCCATAGATATAGCAGTGAGACATAGACATAGTGCAGGAGACTATGACTTACCATTTACTAGCGCAGTCCGTTGATGCTGTCAATATAATAGAGCGTCCGATTCACTGGCGGGTCCAATTTGACAGCGAAATACACAATGACGAATTTGTCCGAGTTATAACTATAAGGAGACAAGCATGGCGATGTGTATATTTGTGCGGTGTAGAAACGTGCGATATGTCAATGTGTGTGATCACACAGCTGAGCTCCAGACACCACTAACTTTGACGTAGCCAATGGTTAGTAGACTAGACGACGTATATATTAGTAGTGTCGAGTTTCTCACCTGCTACTTTTTTTATCTCTTTTTGCTCGTTTTCCTTACAGTCACGAGTAATGGTTCGGAATCACTCTACGGAATGCAAGATACTTTTCGTACACTGACGACACATACACGCCGTGATCGTCTCGCAAAAGTAGCCGTAAGCGAGGTTGCGAAGTCAGGTGAACGCGAGTGTTAAACTAGCAGCGCATAACTGGCAAACATTACGCGCGTGTACCCGATATAGCTCTCGTGTGTATAGTATGCTGATGAGTGGATAACCAACTGTTTTATTGTGCCACGTGAGGTAGCTAGCTTGTCGGAGAACTGACTCACATATGAATCATACACACACACACAGCGCCGACACCGCACGCAGCATGCGCAACTCACTACGCGCTCGTCCTCTCTCTCTCTCTCTCTCTCTCGTCTCGTCTCTCTCTCTCTTCTGCTGTTCTTCTTCTCTCTAAGCACACTGATAGGAACATACACACACACGTCCGCGCGCGCCGCAACTCACATACAACACACACACACCACACACACACCACACACACACACACACGCAGCACGAACACAGCCACAGAGTTTAGTATTCCCTTGTTCTATTATCCGCGATAAACTTGCAAGACGATGAAAGTCTGAAGCAGAGGCAATACAGTGACTCTGTCGGTCACAGCGGCGCGATTGTATATTAAGGCAGCAGCTGAAAGCTCTGAATATAGACGCGGAAGCCGAAGACGAGACATTCCATACACGTTGCATGGCGCAAACGAAGACGAAAAGAAAAACAGATAACGAGATGATTCGGCGAGCAGGAGACAATGGCTTTGAACCGGAACGGAAACCAGAAGGCCATGGTGACACCAGAACCAGAAGGTACTGGTCGAACCGAGACCGGAAGGTCAGGCAAACCGAACGCGAAAGGTACTGGTGAACCGGAACCGAGAAGTCACTGGTGAACCGGAACGGAGGCAGCTGGTGTAAGCCGGAAACGGAAGGGTACTGGTAAGGCGCGCACGGATGGCTACTGGTGAACAGACGGATAGGTAACTGGTGAAGCCGGAACCCAATAAAGGGCAATCCGCCGAGCCAGAAACACATCTATGCCATGGTCTAAAGGATTCGGGAAAAGGTATAACAGATGAGCCATATTTAGTAGATATTTCATTATTATAATGAATCGATATGTGCTAGCGTAGATAACGAATCGTAAATGATGATTCTTGGATCGATGGTTAGAGTTACACTCTATAAATTACGTTGGTAAAATGGCGACAAGAGTTTACATGTTGCTATTCATCGTAGCCTGCATCTGGTCCGAAGTAAGACATTATTATAGGTAAAAAATATATGTGGGTCTATTCAATATTGTAGTATTATATGGTAGGTAATTGTATGTGTACATTACACAACCATATAAAAATAATAATTAAATTTATTATTTTCACGGCGTGCATATGTCCTAATAAGGCGGGTTTGTAAGCGGATCCATCTTAAATCACAAGACGCTCGCTGCGCCGGACCTGCGCATCAGATTTACAAGCATGCCTATGATAAGCATGTTTCTCTTTACCTGTCGTTACCTCGGCAGCTACCATTGCTAAACACGCCGGAGATCACTCGGAGTGCCGCGCGACAGGAAAACAGGTATGAGGCATCTTTGAACACTGCTATGCTCTAGTGGTTCGTCCGTCGGTGTGTAGAAGAGATACAGAGAGTCTGTGAGTTGCTTTAGTATAAATACGAAAGGAGCGATTCACGTGTCAAAATTATTCGCGGTCATTATGAAACGTTAACGTACTTAATATGAAACGTAGATTTGGCTTTTGCGTTCTTACTTTGTGTGAATATCTGATATATAGTATATATATTAATGATATATGATATACAATCTAATTAAATAATAATAAATAAATATAATTATATATATATAGCAAGAGCCTAATTATACCTATAATTAGTATTATTAGCCTCTGATTAATATTATCCAAATGTTTATATATTATATATATATATATATATATATATAACATGTTGTAATATCTAGATCAGTGGGTGTATGTCGCACTACTTATACGTAGAGACACCTGGTGACGCGGATACGAGACTGCTACAACCTGACCTCTGACCTCTGTTGTCAGAAACCACCTGAATATCTATGACATCCATCATCAGTCTAAAATGTCACAACCTTTACAAGTTGAAATGTCGCATAAAGAGAATGACATTTTAGACAAAATACCCCTAGCCCATCGACGCTAAAACAGAGCCAAGTTAGCAAGCGCAAACACGCGTAGGTTACAACATACGCAGCTGCTTTGCTCCGCGGCGACTAAGATAGACTTCATGTTCGCAGACCCGCTTACCTTCGAGGGATGTAACATCGTGAAAGGATGCTTTCGTCACGGGGAGAGAGGTTGCACTCCGCAGACGTGCGACATCGTTGTCATGTACAGCATGGACGGACACGCCGTCACCTTCGACATCGAGGGCAAAGCAGACGCCTGGGTCGGCCATTAGGATTCCTCTGCACGCAAATGGTGACGGTTGTCCTCCTTCTCTGTTTTGATTTGTTTGCACATTACAAACACACAAACGACATACATATATACATACACACGCACACACGCCAGACGCGCACACACACCGCGCACGCACACGCACACGCACACACAGCACACACACCACACACAGGCACACATACACACACACACACCACACACAACACACACACATCGCACAACACCAAACAAACACACACACACACACAACAAACACAACACACACAGCACACCACACACCACGCACACACGCGCGCACACACGCCACAGCACGTACCTACAAAGCACGCAGAAATAGAGTGAGAGTGAGAGCTACCAAAATATAATTGACTTTTGAACTCGAGTGAACTTTGCCTTGGGTTATGACCAATGTAAAGTGATATAGTTTGGGAGTGATTACAGATTACATTACATCTTGAGAGATTAGATTACAGTCGACCTCTGTTTCGATGACGATGGATAAAAGTCTGATAACGTTTCGTCTATTCACCGTTTAACAAATCAAAATCTTTTCATTTGTAACCAAAGTTAACAAATTCTGTTATAGTATACACACACACACACACACACACACTCAACACACACCACAACACACACACACACACACACACACAACAACAACACCAAAACACACCAACACACACCACACACACAACACACACACACACACACACACACCACACACACACACACGGCGCTGCCGCGCGCACAACACGCACATATAATAAAATAATAATTAATATATATATATATTATTACATAATAGTTGTGAGGCCACGTTTGATCCGCGTTGTGTTCCTGTGTTGTGTATAGGGCGAGGACGACGTGTACGCATGGCGGAAGATGCTAACAACCTCGTCGCAGGCCGAGCACTATACAGACCCGGCAGCTACTCACGCTCGGTGTTCGACGATCAAAATCCGATGTACGACGTGCAGACAGCGGCGCAGAACGGTCGCATACAGTGTCGCTTCAAGCGCCAACTCAACGACGCCGCATAGTGTCGTGAAGACGTTCGTGCTGTCGAAGCCGTTACTATCATTTACGTGTGGGGAAACACGGCTGGAGAAGAATGCTCGCGGAGGTGTGTGTGGTGATGTGGTGGATGTGTGTGTGTGTGTGTGTGGTGCGCGTGATAGTGTGTGTTGTCTGTGTCACCGGGCGGCGCGCGCGCGTGCAGCGTGCCTTCGTGCCGTGATGTGCTGTGCATGCGTGCGTGAGTACGCGTGCGCGTGAGTGCGTGCATGCGTGCTCGGTACCGCGTGCGCGTGCGCTTCCGTGCGCGTGACGTGCGTGCATGCGTGCGTGGCTACGCGTGCGGCTGCTTCGTCCGCGCGTGAGTGCAGGCATGCGTTGCGTGAGTACGCGTGCGTCAGTGCTTGGGTCGTAACAACGACGAATACGAAATAATATTTCGGCCTCTATTTAACCTTGTTTGGTTTAAATTTTAGAGTATATATATATATTATATATAGAAATTTATTTTTAGTAATTTAACATTTCCCCGGAAGACTTGTACTTTCATACTTGAGCTGGTATGTTTATGTATGTATATATATATAATA